TATCGGGTTAAGAATTTTATAAGCTAAGGTATATTGTCTTATTTCATTTGATGATAACTTTCGAGTTTTGAGTATAAATTAAATTCGAATAAAGTGCAACGTTAATATTATCATGTTATGAATTTCGATCATTTTATTTTTTTTCCAGGTTTATAAGTACATGTCTAGAAGATAGAGCTAAGATATTCATGTTATTGTTGTTTCATGAGAATTCTAGAAGATAGAAAGATGTATAGATGTAAATTCAATTTTGAATATTTTAGGCATTTTAACTTGTAGAATTTTAACTTGTATCATAAATTTTATGATTGTTGTTGTTTATATCATCAATATATATATATATATATATATATATATATATATATATATATATATATATATATATATATATATATATATATATATATATATATATATATATATATATATATATATATATATATATATATATATATATATATATATATATATATATATATATATATATATATATATATATATGTGTGTGTGTGTGTGTGTGTGTGTGTGTGTGTGTGTGTGTGTGCAATTTTTATATATGTATATTTTATTGGAATGAAGCTACCAAATATGGTGCATAAAAGATAATTCTGAAAACCTAGATCAAAATATTGGAATGAAGCTACCAAATATGGTAAAAATTCTGATTAAAATAGATAATTTATTAAAAAAAATTATGAACAATAGACAGCGCTTTAGGAGAAAAGCGTTGTAAAAACTTTTTAAAAAAAAAGCGTTGTCTAAAGTGGGGGTATAGACAGCGCTTTCAAAGGAAAGCGCTGTCTAAAGTAGAAGCGCTGCTAAAGGGATATATAAAAAGTGCTGTCTATTCTAAAAGCGTTGTCTAAAGTAGGCATAAGACAACGCTTTTACATTCTAAAAAAGCGATGTCTTTTCTTTTAGCAGTGCTTCTTTAGGCAGCGCTTTAAAGCGCTGTTAAAAGCCTAAAAAAGCGTTATCTTTTCCCTTTTTTGTAGTAGTGGACGGATTGATCATTTTTTCCTTTCTCTTCTCGTGTTCTCTGATTCTTCTGCCCATCAATCATTTATTTTTCACTTTGTTTTTTCTTTTCTTGCTCCTTTTCGACTATTTCTCCCTCATTATTTTTTTCTTCTTCTTTATCCTCTTCTTTCTTTTCTTGATCTTCTCTCTTTTCAACAACACGCTTTCTATTCTCTCATTTTCATTTACGCATGATTTGAGTACTTTACCACTTCTCATTGTTATTGATTTACAATGCTCTTTTGGATTTGTTTGAGTTGTGGCTGTGAAAGTTCCTCCTTGTTGATCTGCCAATTGTTTTGCAATTTGTCCGACTTGTGTTTCAAGGTTTTTGATTGAAGCATTGATGTTTTTCTGATTTGTAATGAATAATTGCATAAATTGGTTCAAGGTGTCTTCAACTTTGGATGTTCTGTCCGACTGAGCTGTACTTTACGACTGTTGATAATTCTGATCTTTATTGGGCCTGTTCAATGTTCTAGTCTCTTGTCTCCACCCTTGACCATAGTTTGTGTTGTTTCCGCATTGATAATTCAGATTACCTTGGTAAGGTGCTAGTTTTGGTTGTTGATTCCCCGTGTAATTTACTTCTTCATTAGTTGGAGGACAAAAACCAGTTGGATTTCTTGTACAAAGTTCACAAAATGATATTTGTTTAAGTTTACTTGTCAATCCATGCATTTCCTTGAGTTGTTGTGGAAGTTTGGACAACTGCTTTGTTAATTCTTCCACTATTTAGGTGAGAAGTTTATTTTGTTTCAATATCGCATCATTCAAATCTAACTCAAAGATTTTTGGCTTTCTTTGTGTTGCTCCTCTGTTATATTGAACTTGATGGTCATTGAGGGCCATACGATTAATGATTGAAATTTCTTCTTCTTCACTTTTGGATGATAAAGAACCATTGATTGTTGCATCAAGTAGAAGCTTTGGTTGTTGCTGCAATCCATTGCGAAAGATGTGGATTTGTGTGATTTCATCAAAACCACAATTCAAACATTTTCGTAGCATAGATTTGTAGCGCTCTCATGCTTCATAGAGAGTTTCATTTGAACTTTGAGCGAATGCAACAATAGCTGTTTTGACGTACATGAATCTATTGTGCAGGAAGAATTTGTTCAAAAAGCTTTCTTCCAAGACATTTCAATTGGTCATGGTTTAAGTGGGTTGGTTGAAATACCAATCCTTTGCTTTACCGTTCAAGGAGTGTGGAAACAATCTCATAAAGACCACTTCTTCTTTAGCTTCGGGCGCACCTAGCGTACCGACTAATTCATAGAACTTTGTGAGGTGGATATATTGATATTTATGATCCAAACCTGCAAAAGGATTTGCATAAATAATCAGCAACATCCCTATTTTCATCTCAAGATGTCTATTAGTCGGATTGTTAGTAACACGAGCCAATCACCCCGGGTTGCTTTGATAAGATCATTGACAGTTTCTGCTTCACCCATAGTTTCTTTGATTGGAGTGTTGAAAGAGTTGATGTGGATGCCCTTTTCTTTTTCTTGGCTAGTTGCTTTTGCTTCTTTGTTCGTCTTTTATTTTTCCGGACTATTCTTTCAATTTCAGGATCAAAAGGTACTTCTTCTTCCAGATTTTTACCTTGCATACAAAAAGCTTGCAATTCTAACCAACAAATGTTATGAGAAAGTAAGATAAAGAATAAATAGAAGTATATACAACTTTTAATAAATATACAAACTTAAAAAGATAACAACAATTGCTTCTGTTTGTAATATCTAAACGCCAGTCCCCAGCAACAGTGCCATTTTGATGTTGTGTAAATCAAAAGAAAGTATTTATTATCGTATCTGCATAGACTGATACGATATTACCAACATTTAGACTATCGATGTCGTTTTAAGTTAAAGTTTACAAAATGGTTTGCTTGAAATAATAACGGAATGTAAAATAAACAAAGTTCAATTGATAAGATATCTTGCCAGGATTGGTTTTCCTCTACCGTTTATGTATGCAATTCACCGATTATTTTCTGTATAACCATGTATTTATTCGTACCTCCACATACTTTTCACAATAACGCATATATATACGATAATTTAAGACTTCAATCGGTTTGTTTAATCAATGATGTCTCAATCTATTAAAAAATATGACGGCATTAAGACCAAATATTCTTTGTAGATATTAAGTCCTAATTCTATGTCTAACAATTAGCATTTAATAGATTCTTATCTTTGCTTCCAGATTCTGAAAGTATTTTTTAATAGAAATTCAAATTCATAAGATAGAACACTAATATCAAGATAAAAATCGATAAGTAAGAAAACATGTTTATATTAAAAGCATAATCGATAAATACACATACGATTACGGGAAATTCTTCCAATCCTAACAAGAAAAGGAGATTAGATAGTCATTTTCATGGTAGCTTGTACAAAAAGAAAGAATAGGAGATGAATGAGCATCAACAATGATTCCTCGATTCTTGATGCATATCTAGCTCGATTTTTCGAATCCCTCCCCTACTAGCTATTACAACTATTTCTAATACTATTTCTATCTGATAGTACAATATGGAATTCAATTCTGAAAGATCACTCCTCTGCATTGCACTTGGTCCTTTTTTATAGCTTTTCTAGCCACCTGAGTTCGCTAAGCAAGGATAAGTTCACTAAGAGAACTATCCTTTCTTCCTCCTTAAGTTTTCAAATTCAAACCCCCTTTTGGAAACCGTCAAAGTTCGCTTACCAAACTTTAGTTTGCTAAGCAAACTCTTCTTCGTTGTTGCTTCGCTACTTACAAATTGGGTTGAAATGCTTTTATCTCCACTTTGTTGCTGCTTCGTTAATGTTCGTTAAGCGAACTATTCACTGCAAGATTCGCTTAATGAAATAGGACATGTTTTCTTTTGCTTTTTCTTTGTTATTTTGATCAATTCATGCAATAATAAACCACACACTATTAGAAGTATCATTTTATGAATAAAGTGTGTATTTTACATGCATAATTATTTACTTAATTCGATAAATACCGTATTTTCTAAGTGAATACAATTCGTATTTCGGCTTTTATCACTGGGTCAACAAGAAAATTAGGAAACACTTAACTACTCTTACGGTGTAGTGGTTTTAAGTGGGTTGGTTACTAATTTATTTGATTTTGGGATGTAATGTGAGAGACCGTCTTATAAATATTAATTTTTAAATTAATATATTTTTTGGTTCAAAAATAATAAAATATATTATATGATTTTATCTTTTAATGCTTTTAGTAATAGAATATATTATATGGTTATATGATTATGTATATAATGACTATGTAAGCAAAATTTTGACATGATTCATTGATTTGTATTAATTAAAATCCAATAGGTATAATCATTTGTTCTGGTTTTTTACAATAGCAAAAATATTCTCACCGAGTCGGATATAATAATTCATTCTCTTTATTTTTTAAAATTAATTACAAATTTCAATTTTATGTTCACCTATTTTTCCATATTAACACGTGCATTTAAATATATTTTCAAAAGATAAATTTTAATTTTTAACTTTTTAAAAATAATTTAATATTAAAATTAATTTTGAATTAAATGATTTTTTTTTTGGATTACATATTCATTTAAATTTAATGTAATGTTTTAAAAATCAAACTGCTCTGCAAGCAAATTAGTGAGTATTGAATTATTGATTTATTGGTCAAATTATGTTAGATTATAAGTCGAATTGCATGATTGAATTAAATCAAATAATTTATTAAATAAACTAATATTTATAATAAAATTATATATTTATCAAATTGATCGAATCAGATGACTCCATTTTTTAAAAATATTATAACACTTATAAAATTTTAAAATATTATAATTTCACAACTTGAAACACTTATTTAATAAATACAATGGTACAAGAATGTTGAATTAATTTATTACATTTATAGTGCAGACTTAATATAAGAACTGAAGCTGATTCTTGAAATCTCAAGATGAAAAAAATATAAAAAAAAATTTTTTATTCATTTGAATATTTTATACTTCCTGATGCTCTTCTTACAATATCAATAAGAAACTTCAAGTCGTTATTCAAGGTAATAATGGAAGAAACATTAACTGTCTTTTCATCGGCTAAAAGGGTTTGACATTCGTTAAGTGCATCGCCAGCATATTGGACAACCAAGCATACAGCTTCAGGATCCTCAATCAACACACCTTTTAACTCCATTACCATCGTATTGTACTTACTGGTTGCGCATTCTTTGATTGGTTGAGAAGAAGGATACTTGTTCATCATTTGTTTAAGGTATGCTTGAGCTTTTGTTACCCTGTCTAATGCCACCGTTTTTACAAATAACTTGGCAAAGGTAAGAGGGTCGTTAACCACAATAAGTGCAGGGTGGGATTGTAGAAGTCTCAAACATTGTTGTTCGAAGTGTACTTCACCAGGTTTTTTACATACATTTTGGTAGAATTTTAGGTTTAATGTTGGTAAAGAGGCATGTGAAACAAAAAACATAGAAATGGTGAGCGACAAACATAAATATGTTGAAGCTGCCATTTCTGTAAAAGTAATTGTTTCCTGAGCTTGTTTATTTCTCAAATAGGTCATAGTTTATATACAAGAGAAGGAGTTTGTTAGCTCCTAGAATTATGCTTCTAATATTGCAATTTCTAATCATATAAACCTATAAATGATATTATTGGGATGATGTTTACCAAATATAACTTGATATACCAAATATAGCTTAATAAAATATGATCCTCATATTATTAGCTTAATGTTTACTAAATATAGCTTAATATACCAAGTATAGCTTAATACATTCTCTCTTTTGTTAATGATGTTGACCTATGATGCAGAGGTACATACAAGTATGGAATATGACATCTTTAAAAAAATAAGGTACATAAACGTTAATAAAAAATAAGAATTTTTTATAAAATGTAGTACCAAACTAAATGGTAACAAAATCTCATTATAAAAATTTTAAAAAAAACAAATGTAAAATACAATAAGGAAGAAATTAAAATAAATAAATATATTAAATTGATATTTGAGAAAATCACATATTTTATTCGAAACAAATTAATAAAAAAAAATACCACAATACGGTGTATTCCATACAAATATGTGTCTGATACCGATATTTTACTGTTATAAAAAAATTCATTCTTTCAGAGATGATAGATAAAATAAATTGTGCAAAATAAATTTATTGAAGAAAAAAAAGTAAGAGAACGAAAAATTTGAAACATAAACCTAACCTAAAAAAACACAATGCAAAGTAAGATTATAATTTAATTAATTAATGATATATAATTATAATATGTATTTTAATAAAAAATCCAAAACATTAGTATTTAATAATATATTATTTTATTAAATAATGTGTTGCTCAATTTTTTAATTAAATAGGAAGAATATGATACTTAAAGTCTGTTTGACAAGACGGATAAGTTGGCTTTTTAGTTAAAATATTTGTAACTTTTGATCTCACATTAATAAAAAAACCTTATTTAATAAAACTTTTAGCACAAGTTTTTGTTTTTTTATTAGTTTTTTAACTTGGCATTTTTAATTCCATTTTAAATTTTTTATAATTTATTATAATTTAAAATAAAATAAAAATATTTTAAATGCAGGCATGTAAAAGTTAATTTTGTATCTAAAAATAATCATGAATATCTTAAGACAATACTTCCTGTATTCTGAATTAAGTTTTGTATCTAAAAATAATCATGAATATCTTAAACAATACTTCCTCCATTCTTTTATCGTCGTTTTCACTCCATCTTTTCTCCATTCTCTTCCTCCCCCGACTTCTCTTGATATCTATTATTATCGTTGTTAACTCATTTTTTATTATTTTATTGTTAAGAGTTTTACGTTAAATAATATAATATTTACATATATTTTGGGACAATTTGGAATTTGATGTTGGTGAAACGGCATGAGAAAAAAAGATAATGGAAATGTTCAGCAACAAAGATAAATATGTTGAAACGGTCATTCTCTCTTTTGTTTATGATGATGGACAATAGCATCAAGGCAAAATACTCATTTTGGTTCCTTAACTATACCCTTGAGTTCACATTGGTCCCTTAACTTTTTTTCGTGTCATTTTGGTCCCTTAACTTTCAAAATGTTTCATTTTAGTCCTTTTTGTCTAATTAGCTACGAATTTAGCGGCTGATTTCAAAGTTTTTCCGTCTAATTAGCTACGAATTTAGACAAAAATGACTAAAATGAAACTTTTTGAAAGTTAAGGGACCAAAATGACACAAAAAAAAGTTAAGGGACCAATATGAACCCAAGGGTATAGTTAAGGGACCAAAATGAGTATTTTGCCTAGAATCAATTAAGGATTTTTAATTTATAGACAAAAGAAATAATATTGTTTTGGATTGAATTAATGATTAGAATTGGTTCAATCCACTTCTACTTCAGAATGGTTCAAACAACTTTCGCTCACTAATTCTGATCCTCTGTCGAGCACACTTGATCGATCACACCATGGGAATATCAGGGATTACGATGCCCTGGTCATGCTCCTGCCTGCATCAACAGCTAATTCCAAGTCTGCTCGTTCTTTGTCGAGCAGACAATCAGGAAGGCGCCCGTGACGCGCCTTCCTATCATCTCACCCTTGCTCGAAGTAACGACTAATTATGGACACGAATACCCGTTTTGACCAAGTCCTGGAAATTACCTATTTTCGCGGACCCAAATATTTAAGCCCAAAAATAAGAACCAATGGCTACGCACTGGGGACATTATATAAATCCTCACACTTGTGAGGTCCAGGTATCGAATATTCATTCTAAAAACCCTAATCTCTTTCTTGTATCTTTATGTGCTCCTACTGACTTTAGCATCGGAGTGCCTTGCAGGTACACCCCTTCCTCTCCTCATATTTCTAGCCAAGCAGACGTCATCACCCTTCGGTCCACTTTCAGGTTCTGGTCAACCAATAAGATTAGTGGTGCCGTTTGTGGGAACCTATCTTCCCCGTCTTCCTTTTTCTCGAAACCGAAGATCAAAGATACTTTCACTACCCTTATCATGGTCGACCATGATGACCACCATCTTTCTGAAAAGATTATACTCTTTCCCGTCCACAAGGCAGATGGAAGCCAGGAGCATCCTCATCTAAAGGATATCCCCGACATCAGGGATGGTCAAATAGCGTCTCCAGATTCCGTCGATCTTGAACACGACAACCTCCATTTCCTGGACGATCAGAGGTCCAAGAACCCCAACATGGAGATGCCAGAAATCCTCCAGCCAGTTCCTATTCCATAAAATACCGACCCGGCCATGGCAGCGCTGCTCGCTGCCCTAAATCAAATCAACGCTTTAATCCTGCAGCATAGCAAGAGGACTGGGGCCTGGGAGAAGAAGCAGTCAAAGTCTCATCCTCAGAGACACCGACGTTATGACTCCCGCAGTCCATCTCCACCAAGGCGTGGCTGTCTCCCCGCACAGGAGAAATAGGAGGTTTCTTTCATCAAGAAATAAGGTCAGACACTTCCCTGTAAAGATCGGCGCTCCCTAATCTCCAAGAAGACAAAGAACAACCAGCTTGACGGTGACCACTCGTTGTCACCCAAGCCGAGAAGGAGCACCTCTCCCATGCCGGAACAATAGCCCCCTGTTGTACCCCAAAATTTGCCCTCGCATTTTTCCACAAGAAATCTCAGCTTCAGGCATTTCCTGATTTTTTCAAACTGGCTCAAGAATCGGTCAAACAGACTTTTCTCGTCAGTCAGGACAAAATTAGGGTTTTATTGATTTTTCAGGGCTCTGGATTGTTTCACACAGTTGGCTTAGGGTTTTGGTTGATTTTGGCTCAATTTTGATCAGGCGAACGCTCTTTGGATTTTAATCAGGAATTAGGGTTTTTTGGGCACATTATCAGAAAGATTTAAATGCTCTGCAAGTTATTCCGAGATTTGGATTGAGTTCGCATTATTTGACTTAATCAGTAAAAAGACTGCCTTTGGGTTGAATTCACATTGGTTTGTTTGAGCCAGTCAAAAGATATATGCAGTTTGGATTTACAGTACTTGGTAAGAAATCAGTAAGAAAGGAATGCGTCTGATCAGTTATTACGTTTGACTGTGCGTTGCTTTGGGTGATGGAGGCGCCAAGTTCATTTATTTTGATCAACGTAGAATCAATGTTTAGTTGATTATTTATTATTCTAAGGATTAAATATCTGGAATTTAATTTTCATTTATTTTTAATTTAAGGAACTATGAATAATAAGTAAATAATTGAAAAGGGATAAAAAAGAATTAAATGGATCAATAGAATTTTTATTTCATATTTAAATATTTGTTACAATTATTATTTAGATACAAGTATTCATTTACGAAGTATTTATAATAATAATTGTTTACAATGATTAAATTGAAAATAAAACTATCCTATTTTTCTAAATATTTTCTAAGTCCCCAATTCTTCATTCTTCACTTTGCTCCCCTCCATTCAATTATTCATCTGCAAAAAGAAAAAGAGAAAAGTCAGTAACTGATAAATAAATAAAAAGACAGATAAAAAGAGTTCATCATTAAGGGCCACTGATTGGGATCAGTTAACCCTCTCTGCAAATCACGGGATTTCTCCCGGTTCACAAAGAGGGAAGAATTTTATTTGCTAATCATGAATGCAAAGTTGAGAAAAAAATGCAAAGTGTCAAACTGCATAAATTCAAAATCTCAAACTCCAAGTTCAAACCCAACTAAAAATCAAATTGCAACTTTCTGTCAAAATCCAAAAGTGTCAAACTTGCTGTCAAATGCCAAAAGGGTTACCCAAGCTGTCAAAGAAAAGAAGATTTGGGAAGATATCAAAGCCAAAAGTACAAAAGCTGTCAAGAAAAGATAAGATATGCAAGCAAGTTATATTTTTTCATCATTTCCCAAGATAAGGGTGGCCCTTTCAGAACAAAGGTACAGCAAAAAAAATCATAGTTTAATATTTAGCTGTACTGAGAGAGAAGAGTAGAGAGAAAAAAGAATGCAGGTTTTTAGGCTTTAGGCAGGAAGAGAGAAATATACAAAAGGACTGAACACAGGAAGATAGAGGGAGGTTCAAAAAAAACTCTAACACAAAAAATATACAAAACTGCCAAACCAGCATAACCTCCAAACACATAACCTGCTAGGCCTCAAGCCTGAAACCATACAAACCAGCTGAAGCAAGTCAGAAGCCTCACCCTGTCAAAAGAAAACAAGTTCAAGGCCAAGCCTTACCTGCTAAGACCATCAAACCTGCTAAACCAGTCAAAACCTATTCAAACTAATTCCAAAAACCATAAACCCTCAAACCTGCTGAGCCTCAAGAACTCAACCTGTCTGAAGAAAACAAACAAAAACTATCAAACACCTTAAACCTGCAAGCATAACCTGCGCAAGACCTGCTAAAGCCTTAAACTAGAAAGGCTAAAACCTGTGGCAAGCTTGAAACAAAACAATGCAAATCAGCTCCAACCTCCAACAGAAAGCCAGCATAAACCAACAACGCATGGCCTAAAACCTTAACCATTCAAAGCC